ATTTGGGGAAAGCTGAGAATTTTCTAGTGGCATTAACTCCCTTCCCTGAAGTGAGTTTTGAAAAAGATTTACTAAGTGTTAGGCACAAGAGTTCCAGGTACAGGGAAAGGCTCCTGTTTAGGCATAGAAGTCTGAAACCACTTGCTGTATTTGCAGAACTACAGATGGCTGTACATTGTTGATATAAATAATGCAATATTAAAAAAATAAAATAAAAATATCAGGAGATGAAGTTGGAGAGGTACACTAGGGTGAGATTTTCTGTATTATATCAAAGAGCTTGGATTTTACCAAGTAGATAATGAGGAGGTAGTGAGGAATTTTAAACAGGGAGAAATATAATCTAACTTGTACTTTAGAACACTTCCTGTGGCTGCAGTAAGAAGTAAGACAGTTATTATATGTCCTTTAATATGTTTTTTAAAAATTCTATTGCTACTCATTTATTAGATGAAAAAATACTCAGTGATACACTTATATAGATTGATATGTGTGTGTGCGCACGTGCGCACAGTATTACCAAGGATGAAAATCAAGGAAATATAAGACCTTTTCCCAAGAATGTTTATACCTATATCTTAAAGATACAAAATAAAACACAGATTCTTTGACAGTCAACTGAGAAGGTAAAATTGGTGCTCCTATATTAATTTTAAGAACACAAGAATATACTGAGAAGATACCCTTGACAGGACCAAAATTTTTATTAAAAGAACAATACAAAACATTCCCTACTGTTTTATCAAATTTTATGGAATGGCATTTTCTAGTGAGCCCCTTCCAAGACAGTGGTTCCAGAAATCGAATAATTTTATTTTCTGTAAGAAGTGTTTAGGTTTGGTTCAGTGGTCAGTCAGAGTGTCGGCCCACGGACCAAAGAATCGCAGGTTCGATTCCAATCAAGGGCACGTTACCTCAGTTGTGGTTTGGTCCCTGACCCCGATTGGGGTCATGCGGGAGGCAATCAGTGTGTCTTTCTCACCTCAATGTTTTTTTCTCTCTCTCCCTCCCTTTCTCCCTCCCACTCTATCTGAAGATAAGTGGGAAAATATCCTTGGGTGGGATTTAAAAAAAAAAAATGTTTTACTCTAAGTTAATTATGTATTAAGAACATCTTGTCAAAATGAGTATTTGGACTTTTAGGATACTTTATTTTACCTTGGGTGTTGGTAAAATATACATAAATAAATTTTAGCATTTCAACCATTTTTAAAAAATATTTGTTTAGGGAGAGGGAGAAAGAGAAGCACTGATCAGCTGCCTCCTAGACAGCCTCCTACTGGGGATCCAGCCAGCAACCTTTTGGTACACAGGATGACACCCAACGGAGGTATACCGGCCAGGGCCTATTTTAACCATTTTTAAGTTTATAGTTCAGACATTTTTATTTTATTTATTTATTTATCCTCACCCAAGGACATTTTTGCATTTATCTTCAGATAGAGTGGGAGGGAGAGAGGAAGGAGGAGGGAGAGAGAAACATCAATGTAAGAGAGACACATCGACTTGTTGCCACCCACACAACCCCAACTAGGGCGGGGGATGAACTGCAACCCAGGTACGTGCCCTTAGTGGGAACCATATCCGGGACTCTCTGGTCTGTAGGCAGACGCTCTAACCGCTGAGCAAAACTGAGCAGGGCAAGTTCAGACATTTTTCATCTTCCCATACTGCAGCTTCTGTACCCATTAACAATAATTCCCTATTTCCCTCTTCTCTCTGCCCTTAGCAACTACCATTCTGCTTTCTGTCTGTATGAATTTGACTTCTACTCTTGGTTCCTCATACAAGTGGCATCATTTGTCCTTTGTTGACTAGCTTATTTCAGTTAACATAATCTCTTCAAGGTACATCCATGTTATAACATGTGTCAGAAGTTCCTTCCTTTTTAAGGCTAAATAATATTCCATTATATGAATATACCACATTTTGATTATCCATTCATTTGTGGATGGGCAGTGGGTTGCTTCCATCTTTTGACTGTTGCATATAATGCTGCTATGAAAGGGGGGGTACAAATACCTCTTTGAGACCCTGCTTGCGATCCTTCTTCATATATTCCCAGAGAGGAATTGTTGGATCATATGGTAGTTCTATTTTTAAGTTTTTTATTTTTATTTTTTTGAAAAACCACCATAATTTCCATAGTGCACAGGGTTCCTTTTTCTCCATATCTCTAACCATTGATATTTTCCGGATTTTGTTTGTTTCTTTTGCTAATAGCTATGCTATTGGGTTTGAAGTAGTATCTCATAGTTTTTATTTGCATTTCTTTAATGATTTGCGATGTTGAGAATCTTTCCATATTTTTATTTGCTGAATATTTATCTTTTTTTGTAGAAATGTCCATTCAGGCATTTTGTTCTTTAAATTGATTTTTAGGGAGAGAAAGAAACATACATGTGAAAGCTAAATGTCTGTCAGCTGCCTTCTGAATGCCCCCTACCACAAATGAGCTTCCAGCTTGGACACTTGCCCTGAACCGAAATCGAAACAACTTTTTGGTGCATTGGACTATGGCCAGCCAACTGAGCCACACCAGCTAGGGATAGGGTTTTCATTCTTTTGTTGTTGTTAATCCTCACCCAAGGATAATTTTTCCATTGATTTTTAGAGAGGGTAGAAGAGAGAGAGCGAGAGAGAAACATTGATGTGAAAAAGACACATTGAGCCCTGGCCAGTTTGGTTCAGTGGTTAGAGCATCAACTGTGGACCAGAGAGTTGCAGGTTCGATTCCGGCCAAGGGACACATACCTCGGTTGTGGTTTGGTCCTGGCCCTGGTCAGGGTCATGCAGGGGGCAACCAGTTGATGTGTCTCTTTCACATCAATATTTCTCACTCTCTCTCTCCCTCCCTTCCACTCTGTCTGAAAATAAATAGAAAAATATCCTCACGTGGGGATTAAAAAAATAATAATAATAGAAAAAGACACATTGATTGGTTGCCTCCCATAAGAACCCTGACTGGGGCCAGAGATTGTAACTGCAACCCAGATAGTGTTCTTGACTGGAAATCAAACCCATGACCCTTTGGATGGGGGCTGGCACTCTGTCCACTGAACCACATGAGCCAGGGCCTTGTATTCATTTTTTTTTTTTTAATCCTCACCCGAGGATATTTTTCCATTGATTTTCAGATAAAGTGGAAGGGGTGGGGGGGTTGGGGGAATGTGAGAGAGAAACATCAATTGGTTGCCTCCCAACCAGGACCGGGGATTGAACTGCAACTGAGGTGCATGCCTTTGACCAGAAACCAATGCTCTACTCTTCGGTCTTCGGGCCAACATTCTAACTGCTAAGCAAAACTAGCCTTTTGTTCATTTTTAAATTGGAATTTTGTTGTTGTTCAGTTGTGTAGTTCTTTATATATTCTGGATATTAACCCCTTATCAGATATATGATTTGTAAATACTGTCTTTCATTTTGTGGGTTGCCTTTTTACTCTGTTGATAGTTTTTTTTAATGCACAATAGTTTTTAATTTTGATATAGTTGAATTTATTTTTTTTTGTTTGTTGTCTCTGCTTTAGGATAGTTGTTATTCGTTGTTCTTTCTGCTAATTAAAAAGCAAAATGATTTGCCCTATTAAGGACACTCAGACATAATATTTGATAATAGCAAATTATTACAGCATAGGGAATTCTTATCTTTTTATTCTTAGAAGCAGAAGCACAAGTTCCTGGCTCTTTAGGATCCAAATTTAAAATGGGATGTCAGAAGAAAACAAAATGCATTGTAGTAACCCTGGCCATAGATTTTTGTTTTGGTGAAGTAGAACAGGATTATAGGAGCATTAATAACCAGAGATCTGTCAGGTAACCTTTCCTGCACTGTTTATTCCTCTTCAGCAACACTTCGGAGAGGCCTTCTTTTTTTTTTTTTTTTTTTTATCCTCCCTCGAGGACATTTTTCCATTTTCTGTTCAGGTAGAGTGGGAGGGAAAGAGAGGAACAGAGAGAGAGAGAGAAACATCGATGTGAAAGGAACACATCGAGTGGCTGCCACCCGCACGACCGACCCAGGCCCGGGACAAACTGCAACCGATGTACGTGCCCCCAGCGGGAGCCGAACCCGGGTCTCTCAGGACCTCAGGCCGACGCTCTAACCGCTGAGCCAAACCGGCCAGGGCGGGAGAGGCCTTCTTGACCACTCTTGCACCTTCCCAAGTTGCATTCTGATTTCGTCTCATTCCTTTTCTTTTTTAAAAATTCATAACTTAAAAAAAAATTTTTTTTCTTTATTGATTTTTTAGAGAGGAAGTGAGAGAGAGATAGAAACATCAGTGAGCGAGAACATCGATTGACTGCCTCCTGCATGCCCCCACTGGGAATTTGGTCCACAACCTGAGCATGTGTCCTGACTGGGAATCAAACCGGTGACTTCTTGGTGCATGGGTTGATGCTCAGCCAATGAGCCACACCTGCCAGACCATAACCTTTTTTTTTTTACAACTACACATTGTTATTTATTTGCTTATTTATCATGTGTCTTTTCTTATAAGGGCAGAAAGGAACTCTTATCTCTCTCTTGTTTACACTGGTTTTCCAGTTCATAGAACAATGCTGTGTAAATATTTGTTGAATTAATAGAGCAGTCTCTATTGAACATTTTGGTAGTATCCCTGTCTATAAAATCTCAAGAAATTAGATGCTGATCTCAGAGTGAAATAGTTGATCCATATGACTCTTCTACTTCCATTCATACACTCTTAATCCCATTATCTTATGACAGTAATTAATTTGTTTTAACCTCCTGTTTTGTTATTATGCCATTTATGACATATTATAAAATAGGTTAAATATTTGAGGGCCTGTTGGGTTAGGCACTGTTTTAAGCCATACATGGTGTTGAAGCTTTAACATCTTAGACTTGATTTAAGTTATTTTGATATCAACAATTTTAATAGAGGAAATTATTTTCATTTAAAAGTGAGATTCATGAATCAAGTTGTATTTATAAAGATATGTTACAGATTTAACGTAATGTGTACTTTTTTTCAGATATTTTCTAAATTTGGCACAGTCTTGAAAATTATCACCTTTACAAAGAATAATCAGTTTCAAGCCTTGCTTCAGTATGCTGACCCATTGAATGCACAATATGCCAAAATGGTAATTATTATCTTATTTTTTTTCATTATTCAATTGTCAATCAGTCGCTTCAGTGATACCAAAGGAAGCCATCATGTCTTATCCCTCCAGTTTACCATGTGTTTTTTAAAATTGTAATAAGATATACATAACTTTGTACATATGAGATGGTTTCAAATCACGTATTATTTCTCAAATCTCTGGAACTCATTTCTGTTTGTCATATTTAAAGTAAAAAATGGAGCACAATACTCTTGATATAATCTGACTAATAAAGTAGAATTATCTTTGCCCTTGTGCCTTCATTTACTTCTATTACATTACCCAAAGATTGATTTCACTATTTTTGCAACTATATTCACTGTTGAATCTTGATGAGCTCTGAATTGGTGAAGACATTAAATCTTAGGAAATATGCTGCTGTCAATTCATAGTCTTTTTTTTTTTTTTTTTTTTTAAGTTCTTGAGTGCTTGACTTTTTACAATATGATGTAAAACTTCATATTCAGTTTGGTTATATTTGACCCATATCCTGTTGAGATTTATCCCTAACCAGAATTTTGTCTTATATCAGTATCTGAGTTATTTCTCAATTCTTTGCAAAGATAGGGACAAGGTTAGCTGTACTAATGTGTACCACACAGTGTCTAGTTCTTGATTAGGAATATAGCCTTTATATTTGCTATACCCTCTATCCTCATCTATATATAATTTTGTACCTTTATGATGGCATATTCATCAGTGACTATTACAAGTTAGGCTTTTTTGTTTATTTGTGTATATGTACTTTTTATTGGTCTTGATTTCTGATATATAAATTTGGGCATTTGTGGAAGTCATAAGTGGCTACAAATACTCTTTTGCTTCATTTTTATTGTGAAGGGGGAGGAATTACTGATTTTTGGTCTTGCATCAGAACTGACTCCAAATTTTTCTCAGCTTATTATTCAAAGTATTGAAAAATAAATTTACCCGAGAAGAAAAATGGTAGATAATATTTCATACGTTGTTTTTCTGATAAATATCATTTAGAAGGTCTTTATTTCTTCTTGACATATAAACTGTACTAAAAAGAATTAAGATGAAATGTAAACTTAAAATATGTGGAAACATTTTTGTGGACAAAATAATAGCTAATACAGTGTACAGTAATAGTTTTCTAAGCCTTTACATTTCTCCTTTCTCATTTGACCTTACTAGAGACAAGATAGGGATTATTATCCTTATTTTACAGATGAAAAAACTGAATTAGATATTTTCTTTTTTTCTGTTAGGTACACATAGTGACAGAGGTAAAAGTAAATAAAGGTCTTTGGCTTTTAGTCCAGTGCTCTCTGCTTTATACCTAATAGCCATTCTGTGTTAAAGTAGAGGCTACTTGATTTATCAGTGTTGTTGTCGTGCAAAATATCAGTCCCTTTCTTACATGCTTTAGGCTCTGGATGGCCAGAATATCTATAATGCATGCTGCACTCTGCGTATTGACTTCTCCAAGCTCACCAGCCTTAATGTGAAATATAATAATGACAAAAGCAGAGACTTCACTCGCTTAGACCTTCCTACTGGTGATGGCCATCCATCCCTTGAATCCCCTATGGCTGCTGCTTTTGGTGAGTAGTTTCATTTTGGGTCACAAAGCAAATTTTCTGAAGTTTTACACGTTTCATTTGTTAATCCATGTTATGTCAATTGGCCATTTTCTTCTTGGATTCGCTCAGAATTTCTAAAGGATACTTTTTAAATAAACCTTTATGTTAAGGAAAAAGCAGTGCATGGCCCAGTTGGATATATCATTAGGTTAATGTATACTACTTCTTGGTTTTGCAGCTCTCAAAAGTGTGGTTTATATTTAGATATAGTATTAAATTTTATTACCTGTAGTGATCATTTTCCTTTCCCAGATGACACCATAAAATACTGCTTATTGAGACCTTAAGCAGTATTTAGTGCATCTTTGTTTTACAGGTGAGAAAAAAAGAATCAGCCAAATGCTTATCCAAAATTTTCTAGAAAATACTTTTGTAACTTTATTTTCAAGTAAAAGCTTTTTGTTATTTATAACTGAAAAAGTCAAGTGAACTGTTTAGTTCACGTTCCTGAAATTGTTCTGTTTTTGTCGCACCAATTTTTGTGTTTTATTTGTTTGCAGCCCTAACTTACATTCCGATTTTGCAGAGCCAAAGGTCTATTGTAATTACTGTTTTGATATTAACATGATAGAAATTAAGGCTGTCGTTCAAGTTTGCCAAAACTGACTATCAAATGCAGAATGACCCTTACTCCAATAATTGAATGTATACTTTTGGTGTAATTAATGTTCTGCATTGTGGAAAGAGGACATTTTTAAAATACAATTAAGAATTTTGGTTTCTTGCCCGGCTGGTATGGTTCAGTGGTTGAGCATTGACCCGTGCACCAAGAGGTTGCCAGTTCGATTCCCAGTCAGGGCACATGCCCAGATTGTGGGCCAAATCCCCAGTGGGGAGGATGCAGGAGGCAGCCAGTCAATGTTCTCTCTCATCAATGTTTCTATCTCTCTCCCTCTCTCTTCTTCTCTCTCTAAAATCAATAAAGAAAAAAGTTATTTAAAAAAAAGAATTTTGGAGGTGCCTCATTAGTGCAATAGGTAGCGCCTCAGTCTCATAAATAAAAATTTTGGTTTCTGAATATAAAATCTCAGAATGTTCACATCATTTTTCATTGTGTTAATAAATTTATAGTCATTGCAAAGTAATGCCTATGTCCTAAGATATATGATTCATCAGAGAACAATGCTTTTTTATGCACTGTGTGAAAGTTTACTATTTCCTTTTTTTTTGTTGGCTTTTGAAGCACCACACTCCTGACTTTTTACCTAACTAACTGTCTGTTCTTTCTTTTTGTCAAGTTCCTAGGTTAAATTGTAAGCACTCTGTCCTAGTTTTTAGTAATACATACAGGGTGTGGCAAAAGTAGATTTACAGTTGTTTGTATGTAAAATAATACAAACTCTGTTTTGCATATTCATAACTGGCCTAGTCTTGCCCTGCCCTGTATTATGTATAGAAAACCTTATAAAATGTGTATATGTATTTTAATACCATATATAATTGTTGCCTGGGTTAAGAAATCACATATTTATACATACTGAAGAAGCATTCTTTGTACCCTTCTCATTGATTGTGCTCCCACTCTCCCAAAGATAACCAGTCTCAGATTTGATGATAATCATGTGTCTGCTTTTCAACTTTTTGTTCTTATTTTGCTTTTTTTTTTTTTTTTAACAACTTATTATGCAGCCCTACATACTAATTTAAAGAAATGTTTTCTCCTGTATTTTGAACCTATGTGAATGGAAATATGCTGTTTATTTTCTTTTATTTGTTACTCATTCCTATTCATGTATGTGACTATACCACAGTAGTGTTTATCCGTTCTGAGAATAGACATTTGGTTATTTATATTTTTTAATATGTTTTATTGATTTTTAGAGAGGGAGAGTGAGAGAGAAACATTCATGTGGGAGAGACATTGATCAGCTGCCTCCTACATATCCCCACTAGGGATCAATCCCAAAACCCAGGCATGTGCCCTAACCTGGGAATTGAACCTGTGACCTGTTGGTGCATGGGATGGTAAGTCACACCAGCCAAGCAGACTTGGGTTATTTTAGTTTGAGGCTATTACGAACAGTGCTGCTGTGAAATTTTTCTGATTACCAATGAGATTGACGATAGTTTTGTTTATCTGCTCAACTCTTTTGTCTATTTTTGTGTTTGGTTTCTTGCTTTTTCTTGTTCATTGGTAGGAATTTTTTTTTTTTTTATCCTCACCCGAGGACAGTTTTGCATTTATCTTCAGATAGAGAGGGAAAGAGAAACATCGATGTGAGAGACATATCGATTGGTTGCCACCCACATGACCCCAACCAGGGCTGGGCACAAACTGCAACCAAGGTACGTACCCTTAGTGGAAACCAAACCTGGGTCTCTCTGGCCTGTGGGCCAACGCTCTAACCGCTGAGCCAAACCGGCCAGGGTGGTAGGAGTTTTTTTATATATTCAAATACTAGTCCTTTTTTGGTTATGTGTTGGTTATATGTGTTTCTCCCATTTATGGCTCTATAGTATTTTTATGTAATCAAATTTATTTGTCATTTCTTTTATATTTTTGTTTTTTGTGTCTTCAGAAATCTTTTGTTACCCTGACATCATAAAGCTATATACTTCTAAAGTTTGTAGTATTTTAATAACTTTGTTTTGAAACAATTTAAATTGCAAAAATAGTACAAAAAATTGCCTTATTCATTCATGTTCCTAATTATTAACATCATGTCATATGTACTAGATCATCTCTCTGATTATGTGTGTTCACGTAGGTAGGCAGTCGTCCCCCCACCCCCGAATCAATGGAGAGTAGGTTGTAGGCATGATGCCCTTTTACATCTAAATACTCATTGTATATTTTCTGAGAACAAGGTCATTCTTACCTAAATATAGTTTAATTACCAAAATCCGGGGATTAACATTCATACAATACGGTTATCTAATCCATAGACCTTTGGTCAAGATTCAAACCAGTATCAGGCTAATTTATTTGTTGTGTCTTTTTAGAGTCCTTTAATTTGGAACATTTCTTCATTCTTTGTCTTTCATGACCTCTACATTTTTTAAAGAGTTCAAGTTGGTTATTGTATAGAATGTCTCTCAATATGAGTTTGTGGGTTTTTTTGGCTATAATAATGTATCTTTCTCAGTTTATTACGTCAGGAGACACATTTATACCAGTTTGTTTCATTCCTGGTGATATTAACTTTGATCATGTGAGGAAGGAAGAAACTTTCCTTTATGCTCAAGTTTCTTTCAGCTGGTCTAATAATTGAAACTACATGAGACAAATTAACAAGAGAAAATGGCCAAACTTAAGTGCATATGTACACATGGGAAGCCACATACATGAGAGAGTAAGAGACCCCACCTACACGAAAGGTTCAAAGACAGAATGTGACATTCTGCATTGGGGCTTCAGAAGAGTGGAAGGTGATTGCAAGACCATAAGGAGCAGATATTTCTTCAGTAACTAGTAGTTTGCCCTGCCATATAGATAGGTCATAAAATGTTGTTTGTGGTTATAACTCTTATTATATGAAAGGCCTCTAATTTAAATTCTTCTTGGGGGTTAATTGGGGGCAGAAGTATCTCTTGAGCCTGCAGGGTCTCAGTTGCCTTTTGCTCAAAATAATCTGCATACCACAGAGGCATGTGTTGAGGTGACTCATTCGGAACTCCTACAAGCACTTATTAAAGTAGTTTCTGCAAGGTATCTTCCAGTAAAGTTACTATTTTTCTATTTGTAATTAATTTGTAGGGAGATGTGTTGAGACTATGTAAATACCCTTTTCTTACCACTTTGCACCCTTTAGTTTTAGCACCCATTGCCGAAATTAGTTGTTACTGTAATGGTAGCTTTATTGGTGATTTGCTAATTACATTATTTCTTCTGTGTTTATTAGCTGGGATTTTATTGTAAAGGACTTTTCTTATCATTCTATTCATTCATTCATTCTTTTGAATAAATTTGACAGATAACATTGTGTGAATTTACAGTGTACAGCATGTTACTTTGATACATTTATATGTTAATATTATTGCCAATGTAACATATCACATTATATAATTATAATATATTATTGTCTATCTTTACTATACTGAGTATTAGATGTCTATGGCTTACTACTTGTATTTTTCTATTTTTTATGTCTGTATGGATTTTTATATTCTTATTCTATGAGTCATAATTTTGTACAATAATTTTTCATCTTATGCTTAGAGTGTCCCAGATTTGGCTGTGGTAGCTTTTATACTGGTTTCTGTGTCCTTTTGAAATGTCTCCATTATCATTTGAGCACTTCCTTACTTTCTTGCAGAAGATATTTCAGCTCTTCTTTACCTTCTCTGCCTTAGCACTGCAAAATGAGCCCTGGTTTCTTTTAGTGGGAAATGGTATTTGGAAATTAATATCTAGGCATTAGATGTGCTCATTGCTAAGAGGACGTCATTGTTTGTAGGTACTTTAAATGGGCATTACTAAAATATATGTGCTCCATAAATATATTTTTCTGTGTGTTTGTTTAAAAACTACAAATTTTGCCCAGCTGGTGTGGCTCAGTGGTTGAGCGTCAACCCATGCACCAGGAGTTCTCTGGTTCAATTCCCAGTGAGGGCACATGCCCAGGTTGTGGACCAGATTCCCAATGGGGGCCATGTGGGAGGTGGCTAGTTGATGTTCTCTCTCATTGATGTTTCTATCTCTCTCTAAAATCAATAAAGAAAAAATAAAATAAAAACTAAAAATTTTAACCAATACTTCCAATTCCAATTCAGCACTGTTTTTTTTTCATATTGATAACTTCCTTCTTCAAGAATGAGAAATCTAGTTTTCATTAATCTTAACATATTTAACATTTATTTATTTGTTCGATCCTGTAATACATTAAAAAATAGTTTTAGCATTATTAACACATACCATTAAAACTTCAGCTTAGCTCTGGCTGGGGTTGCATGGTGGTGAGTGTTGGCCCACAAACCAGAAGGTTTGCAAGTTCAATCTCCGGTCAAGGGTATGTACCTGGGTTGCAGGTTCTGTACCTGGCCCTGTCCAGGGCGCATGCGGAGGCAACCTGTTGATGTGTCTCTCTCCCCCCTCCACTCTCACTAAAAAATCAATGGAAAAAAATATCCTCAGGTGAGGATTAACAAAACAAACCAAACAAGAAATGTTTAGTTTATTCCTGGCCAGTGTGGCTCAGTTGGTTGGGCGTTATCCTATGCACCAAAAGGTTGCTGGTTCTATTCCTGGTCAGGACACATGCCTCGGTTGTGGGCTTGATCCCTGGTAGGGGGCTTGCAGGAGGCAGCTGATCAATAGTCCACTCTCACATCAATATTTCTTCCTCTCTCCCGTCCTCATTCTCTAAAAATCAATGAAAATATTTTAATAAATAAATCTTCAGCTTAATGTTCCCTTAAGTAGTTTTTTGAGAATTGTTCCATTGGTCTGTTTGTTTGTCTTTCCATTTGTCATTACCACAAGTCTCAATATCTGATAGAGTAATTCTTTTTACCTTATTCAAGAGTACCTTGTCAATTCTTGACCATTTACACATGAATTTTAGGGTCGATTTACCAAAAAAGTTACTGAGATTTTGATTAGATTACATCAACTTTATAAATCACTTAGAAGATACTGACATCTTTACAATAAAGTCTTCTAGTCTTTGAACATTGTTCCTTAGTGTCATTCAGTAAATTTGGTGATTTTTCTTCATAAAGGTTTGGATGTATTGTTAGATTTATTTGTAGGGACCATACTTTTTAGATTCTAATTCCAGAACTAATGTTTATTGTCTCTATAACCTTGAGCAAATTGCTTAACTGCTCTGCACTTTTGTTTCCTCATGTATGGAATAAGCGTAACAATAGTACTTAACTGACCGGGTTGTGATGAACATTAAATGTGCTAATGTACATACAGAGTTTAGAATGGTGCTTGGCAAAAGTGCAATGTAAGCTTTAGCTATCATTTTTTTTTTCCTAACTGTTGCTAATATAGAAATGTAGAGTTGTTTCTTGATTTTATATTCAGCAAACTTGAAAAACTCTTAATTTCTTTAGTAAGATGCACTGAACTTTATATATAAATGGAAAAGAAAAAGAAAGTATCTAAGATGTTCAAAGGAATTAAAAAAAATTTTTTAATTGCAAGACTTAATATAAAGCTGCAGTAATCAAGCCAGTTTGGTAGTGTTTAAAGGATAGCTATATAGATAAGGGAGCAGAATAGAGAGTCTAGAAATAGAACCATACATATATAGTCAGTTGATTTTCAATAAAATTGCCAGTGTAAAATTCAATAGAAAAAGGAAAATCTTTCAAGTAATGTTTGGACAGGTGGATATCCATATTGGAAGAAAATAAACATTGATCCATATCTCACACCATACTGACAACTTGACTTGAAATGGATCTTAGACCTCTGTGTGAAACTTAAACCTATAAAGCTTCTAAAAGAAAGCATAGGAGAAAAATCTTTGCAACCTGGGGATATGCAAAGGTTTCTTAGAACACAAAAAGCCTGCCCTGGCCAGTTTGGCTCAGCGGTTAGAGCGTCGGCCTGCAGTCCGGAGAGACCCGGGTTCGGTTCCCGCTAAGGGCACGTACTTCGGTTGCAGTTTGTCCCCGGCCCTGGTTGGTCGTGCGGGTGGCAGCCACTCGATGTGTCCCTTTCACATCGATGTTTCTCTCTCTCTCTGTTCCTCTCTCTCCCTCCCACTCTATCTGTACAAAAAATGGAAAAATATCCTCGGGTGAGGATAAAAAAAAAAAAAGAACACAAAAAGCACAACCATAAAGTGATATAATTTATATATTGCACATTAAAATTTTTAAATTTTACTGCTTGAAAGATACCACCAAGAAAACCAAAAGAGCCCTGGCCAGTTTGTCTCAGCAGTTAGAGCGTTGGCCCGGACCAAAGAGTCGTGGGTTCGATTCAGGTCAAAGGCACGTACCTCAGTTGCAGTTTTGTCCCCGGCCCTGGTCAGGGTCGATGCAGGAGGCAACCAATCAATGTATCCCTTTCACATCATTGTTTCCCTCTCTCTCTCTCTTTCTCCCTCCCCCTCCCACTCTATCTGAAGATAAATGGCAAAATATTCTCAGGTGAGGATTTAAAGATAACCAAAAGGTATGCTACAGATTTATAGAAGAAAAATATTTGCAACACACATATCAGACAAATTCATTATGTCAAGTTATATAAAGAACTCTCCTATAGCTCAGTAATAAGAAAACAAACCAATAAAAACTGACAAAAGATTAGAAGAGTTACTTCACAAGATGGTGTATATGTGGCAATAGCACATGAAAAGAGACTCAACATCTCTAGTCATCAGGGAAATAGAAGTTAAAATCACTGTATTTTACTACATGCCCATTAGAATAGCTAAAATTAAAAAGGCTCACCTTTCCAATGATGTGGAGCATCTCTCACTAGCATACTGTTTTTATGTTCACACAAATACTTGTGGGCAAATGTTCATTGTAATTTTATTTGTAATGACTAAAATCTAGAAATATTCGGTTACAGGTAAATGGATAAACAAAATGTTAGTTCATCCATGTGATGAAATACTATTCAGTAATAAAAAAGGAATAATTGATAAGGACAACAGGATTGTGCTGAATGAAAGAAGCCAGACAAAACATTATTATGAATGAGAGAAACCAGATAAAAAATATATGATTCTGTTAAATGCAAAGTAGTCTACATTGACAGAAAGCAGGTCATTGGTTGCCTAGGGACAAACAGGGTTTGACAAGAGAATAAACTTACATAAGCTTTTGACTCCTCTGGAAAATACAGCCTACATTCTTCTTCCTATAAATATGCTCATCACCCTATTATTAAAAACACACACAAAAAAAACCCTCCCTTTGACTTTCACAGTGTAACTTTTCACTGTTGCTCTAAAGCTGTTCTTTCTTTGTCTTTTATATTTTCATTCTTCTTAACCTCTGTTGAACCCCTTCTCCAGAACTGTTTCTCTCAATCCTGAAGGACTATAATCCACTTTTATTTCTCCTTCTAAGGCTTTTCTTTTTCCCCTTTAGAATGTTCCTCTTCCTTCCTCTACCACTTAAGTGTACCAATTAATACTCCCAGGTTTTGTTTTAGCTCTCAATTCTTGTTGTGTGTCCTTTTTAGTGGTGCTCTCATTCATATAGCTTTATTTATTTCTACATAGATGATTTATAGATCTGTGCCTTTTAATAATTAGTCTGATTTTTACCCCTCATTTCCAGTGTTGGGCATTTCCATTTGAAAGTCTTTACCTCCACATTGACATGTACAAAACCAAATTGTTCTTCTAGTAATATTGACTCCTCCATTGGAACTAAGTCCTGTTTTTGTTGATGATGCATAGTCACCAGGCTTCAAAAAGGAAAGGGAAGAATACCAGCATTTGTTTCGTATCTAGTACACACTAAACACTGCTTTTTAATACATAATGTTTAGCTCAAATTTTACCTCTTAGAAACCCAATCTCAGTGAATCCTCTGTGATCCCTTCTTAGACCATTTGCGGTGCATTTGTATTTAAACCACTAGATCCTCAGCATATGAATCTTCTCTAATTATACTGTTAGTTTGTAAACCTCTCAAAGGCAGGCATTTAGATTTCATATTTTCTTTTTATCAGCAGAGTACCCCATAGGTACAGTACAACTTAATACATATTTGATGATTTTTACATAGAAATAATCCTCTAAATAAGGGCAAGAAGCTCAGCCTAAATAACAAAACTAAATAACAGCTAAGCTGTAGTCTTACACCTTGAACCCAATTGAAAGGGGTTAACCTCTAGAATGGACAGAGACACTTTATTCATATACTTAAGGATCACCTGTTGAACAACTTACTTCATAACAGAATATCTTTATCAGTAATATATCCTCATATAGCCGTTTTGTATTGCTTTGATAACCATTTTTATAGACGGTAGCATATTTATTTTACTTTCTCTTTCCATTAGGTGCACCAGGTATAATTTCCTCGCCATATGCAGGGGCTGCTGGATTTGCCCCAGCGATTGGATTTCCTCAAGCTACAGGTGAGTTTTAAAGTTGAATTTGAAATTATTTTTGATGGTCTATGTTTTCTAGGAACTTATCAAAGTGAAAAATATTACTATATTTGAAGGATTTACAATATAAGTATTATGTGTATCAACCATAGAAGTGGCTTATTATATGATACACAGTTTCCTTATATTTACAAATAATTCTCTCTGGTTTCATTCTCAGTCACAAATTTCCATGATCTGTTCTCCATCATTTATATTTTCTATTGACACAGATTAACTATGGGTTGACTATATTAAATCACCTTAGGTTTGCTTTTTTGGATATTGTATAAAATGTATGGACTGCTTCTGTCTTTGCTGATAAGCTTATTAGTTACATGTTGAACAGACTTGTGTCTTATTTATCTCTGTCCGCAATGCCTTTGATGGCATTTAATACATATTATGTAGTCAGTAAATATTTGAATTAATAAACATTTACTGTTCAACTTACTCATACATTTTTGTTGTTGTTGTCAGTAATGGATTAGAAAGATAACCATGAGAGGGTATGCATGCTGTTTATTTCAGGGGATATGTATTTTTTTCTTTGGCTAATGGAGATAATTGGGAGATACCCAGCTGGTTAATACTTTAATAATTACTCCCACTCTTTTCCAAATAGTAAACAAATCAAATCCTATCATAACTTAAAGAAAAGGAAAAAATTACTTTATGGTATCTCTGGTGCCTAAAGAAAACTCTTAAGGTTGGCAATTAGAAGAATGGCATAATGTTAAGCTAGTCTGTATACTACATTTCTGGCTTCCAGCTGATTCATAAATATAACAGTATTTTAAATTGCTACGTAGTTACTTTCTGGCAATAAAAAGAAAAGAGTGATAAGATCGAAGTTTAAGTTTTAGGGTTTTAAGGCTTATTAATATGTTTAATTAAGTGAACATTCTGCCTACTCCATTAAAATGAAGATATTGTACACTATTTTTATTTACTTGAAGCCCCAAAAAATTTAATTGATATACATTTGAAAGTAGTGATTAATGGTTTTCCTCATTTTAGAAATTTCATTTTGAAATACTTCGTGTATAAAATACTATAGTAGATATTAAGAAAAAGAAGTTGATATGACTTTTAAAGTCTATTAGGGGGATACACAGTCAGCCCTCCGTATCTGTAGGTTCCATGTTTTTTGATTCAACCAACTGTTGATTAAAAGTATTTGGGGCCCTGGACAGTTTGGCTCAGCAGTTAGAGCGTCGGCCCATGGACCAGAGAGTCCCAGGTTCTGTTCCCGCTAAGGGCACGTACCTCGGTTGCAATTTGTCCCCGGCCTTGGTTGGGGTTGTGTGGGTGGCAACCACTTGATGTGTCTCTCTCACATCGATGTTTCTCTCTCTCTCTTCCCCCCTCTCTCCTTCCCATTCTGTCTGAAGATAAATGCAAAAATGTCCTTGGGTGAGGATTAAAAAAAAAACAATATTTGGGGCAGAAATGTTATAGATGTATATACTATTTAGTTATGCAAACGATGATTGCATGTTTACTGAACACGTACAGACTTTTCTTGTCATTATTTCCTAAACAGTACAGTATAACAACTGTTCACAGAATTGAGCATTTACTTTGTATTAGATGCTGTGAGTAATCTAGAGATAATTTAAAGTATATGAGAGGATGTGCATAGGTTATATGCAAATACTACACCATTTTATATAAGGGATTTGAGTATCCTCGAATTTTGATATTTGTGGATATCCATGGATACCAAAGAATGACTATGTATATATGCATATACACACATAGACATCTTTCAGTGTAGCTAAAGTGTACTTTGGTGGTATATGATAGACCTACAAAAGTTATTCAGAAGTTTCAGGGTTGGATTGGAGGCACATAGGAAGAAGTCATATAAAGGGCTATTGAGAATGAATTTCATGAAAAAGTATCCAGCCTAAGAAGGTAGTCTGCACAGTTTTAAAATCTAGCAAGATGATGCTAGTGATGACCTTAGATTTATCAAGCAGAATAGGCTGATTGTAAACTATATTTCAATTTAATTACATGATTTTTGGGAAAGTGGTCAGACCCCATCTAATATAAGGAATTTTGAGCTTTAAGAATCAGTGAATTAAGGAACTGGTTCATTTTACATAAACTAGAGATTTTACCTTAGATAATTTTTAAGTTGAGAAAACAAATAGTGGGAACTTCTGAGTAAGTGTGCTTTTTTAAGTATAGTATATAGTACCAGTATTCCCATATGATAGAACTTTCAGTAGTTCTGGAATATCTAAGGGAGTAGAGAGCTCTGAAAATTTTTGGTACCAAAGACTATTGGAATTCTATAAATCTATAGCTGATGGTGATAATATTTATATAGCACTTTACAAGATTACTTACTTTCTGTATGTATACAATGCATGTATACCTGTCTTGGGTTTACAACTCAGTGGTTTTTAGTAAATTTACAGGCTCATTATCACAGTCCAGTTTTAGGACATGCAGTACCACCTGGTACGAGTTTATCTTATGGTAGAAGTCAATATGAAAATTATACCTACTTTATAGAAATGTGTTGGAATATATCTATTTCAAGAAATGAGAGAGTGCTTGTAGCTGATAGATCCTCTGAGAAGCCTAATGGATTTTAAAACCAGTGAATTTAGTTGCTCTGAAAAGTACTATATAAATAATAGAATACTAGAATACTGACTATGATAATGTTAAAGAAAAAGGAACTTGACTTTTTCAGACAGACTCTGTAGGGCTGGAAACTGGCCTTTGAGATCTTTATGGTAGCTTTGACCATTTTCTTCTGTATTTATACTTTTGTCTTTGTTTACTTGTTAACAAGTATTATAATCTTCAGATAACTAAAATATGAAATACTTTTGATGTTTTAAAAAAGGTCTGTCAGTCCCAGCTGTTCCTGGAGCTCTCGGTCCTCTCACAATCACCCCCTCTGCTGTCACTGGAAGGATGGCCATTCCTGGGGCTAGTGGTATGCCAGGAAACTCTGTTCTACTTGTCACCAATCTCAATCCTGATGTGAGTTGAAAAGCATTATAAAATAGTCTTTCAGGAGGAGGTCTGTAGTAGCTTCTGGTCTAGACTTGTATTCAAAATTTTAACTTTGTTTTAAGAATTTTCATTATAAGTCATCACTAGTGTGTGTGTATACATATAGGAAGTATATAAAACAAATGCTTTAAAGAAAGTCAACTGTTATTATAAGTAAACTTATTTAAAATTTTTACTTAAATTAGTGAGACATATATTTATATTATCTTTTTCAGCTTATCACACCACAGGGGCTGTTTATCCTGTTTGGTAAGATTTTTTTCTTTCTTCTGTTTTTAATATTATCTATGATGTGGATTGAACACATTCTATTATTTACTAATATTTATTGACTGTCTCTATGTGCCAAGTAGTGTGTTTGACACTGAGGCTCGAGTAGCAAATAAGACTTATTACTAAGTATTTACAATAAAGTTTTATTTAAAAAAGGAACATAGAGTCCTGGCCAGTTTCGCTCAGCTATTAGAATTTTGGCCCATGGACCCAAGGCTTGGGTTGGATTCTCCGTCAAGGGCAAGTACCTGGGTTTCAAGTTCAATCCCTGGCCCAATGGGGTTGTGCAGTATACGCAACCAGATGATGTGTCTCTCTCTCCCCCACCCCCACCACTACCTCTCTCCCTTCCACTCTCATAGAAAGAATATCCTCAGGTGAGGATTAACAAAAAACCAAAATAAAATATAAAGGGAACATGTAGCTGGGAGTCCCTCCCTCTCTCTCCCTACCTAGCTGAGGGAATCAAAGATGGTGTACCAAGAGAAATGATAGTTAAGCAGACTTATGATAAATGAGTAAGCATTAACCAGGCAGAAAAATGAGGGCAGATCTTTTCACAGATACTAGCAGTGAGAGAGGGCTTCTGGAACATGGAGGGAAAGGAAGTCCAATGCAGAGTGTAAGGGAGAGACATGATGAAGCTGTACACATGGATGGGGCAACATGAAGAGCTTTGTAAGCTGAATTATGGAGCTTGGTTTTAGTCTTAAGCAGGAGAGAAGCATAATGAGATTCAGGTTTCACCAATCTCCGAACTCTCTAAAAGTTTTGTGTCTGTTAAAAAAAATTTAGGCCCTGGCCGGTTTGGCTCAGCGGTTAGAGCGTCGGCCTGCGGTCTGGAGAGACCCGGGTTCGGTTCCCGCTAAGGGCGCGTACCTCGGTTGCAGTTTGTCCCCAGCCCTGGTCGGTTGTGCAGGTGGCAGCCACTCAATGTGTCCCTTCACATCGATGTTTCTCTCTCTCTCTCTGTTCCCTCTCTCCCTCCCACTCTACCTGAACAAAAAAAATGGGAAAATGTCCTCCGGTGAGGATAAAAAAAAAAAAAAATTATATATGATTAATTATTCATATACTTCATCCATCTTTTACTGTATTCATCATCAATATTATGGCATGTACAAATATGAGCAATGAAATAAGTATTTAATATTTTAAAGATTTTTATTGATGAAAATTTTTCATAAAAATCTATTAACATTTAGTGAGAAATATGATTTAATATGCTTAATTATTTTCAGAAATCTTCTTTTGTTTGTTAATCCTCACCTGAGGTTTTTTTCCATTGATTTCTTTTTTTGATAGAGTGGAAGGGAGGTAGGGAGTGGGGCAGAGAGAGAGAGACCGAGACCAAGACCCCAACCAAGCCTGGATCAAACCTGCAACCAGGTACATGTCCTTGACCAGAAATCAATCCTCGACCCTTCAGTCCAAGGGCCAATACTCTAACTGCTGAGCCAAACTGACAGGGCCAGAAAAAATAGTATCATAACTAATTAGGTATAGCAACAATGAAATATTTCCATTTATACCGCATGTGTTTATGAGGTTTCTTTTTCAATTATGACAACCAGTAAGATCAAATACTAAAATAAAATGAATTTAGAATTAAACCTTAGAATACGGAATTGTGCAGTCATCATTATGAAAGCCCAGTTTTAGAACATTTTGATCACCCCATAGAAATCCTTCATGCTCATTTGCAGTAAAAGTTTTTATTGGTGACACCTTTCTGTTAATTTTCAGTAATGAAATCATGTATTAATGATACATTTTCATGTCTCTCTAATAGTCCAAGCACATTTCTTTCTAAAAGTAGTTAATTTCCCACTTATTTCTCAACTTAAAGAACAAATTGTGTTGTTGTTGTTTTTTTAAATAATGTCTATTTCAGCCACTTGTCATTTCTGAAAATGACAGCAAATTTGGAATACTTGTCTTCTTGTTTTAAATTTTAAAAGTACCACTCATGTCTAAGTTCAGTTGCTCCTAGGTGCTTGCCCACAAGATAACCAGCACTACTTTGTGTGCCTTGGAGGTTTTCATACTCATTCTCATCTCATTACAGAGTATGGTAATGTCCCTGGTCAGTTTGGCTCAGCGGTTAGAGTTTGGCCCCACGGACCAAAAGTCATAGGTTCCATTCTGGTCAAGGGCAAGTACCTCGGTTGTTCATGGTCAGGGTCATGCTGGGGGCAACCAATCAGTGTGTGTCCCTCACATAGACGTTTCTCTCTCTTCCTCCCTCCCTCCCTCCCTTTCTCTTCCTCCCTCCCTCTCTTTCTCCCTCCCTCCCTCCCTCCTTTCCTCCTCCCCTTCCTCTCCCTCACACTGTGTCTGAAGATAAATGAAAAAATATCCTCAGGTGAGGATTAAAAAAGGCAAAGTATGGTGATGATGCTACTGCATAAGGGTTTTATTTTTGTAATATTGGTGATATCCAGTAGCACATAAACTGCAATATATTTTAATATGCTGAATGAAAAAAATGAGAGGTCTGGCCAGTGTAGCTCAGTGGTTGAGTGCCGACTCATGCACCAAGAGGTCACTAGTTCGATTCCCGGTCACGGCACATGCCAGGTTGTGGGACTGATCCCCAGTGGGGGCCATGCAGGAGGTGGCCAGTCGATGTTCTCTCTCATCAATGTTTCTCTCTCTCACTCTCCCATCCTCTCTCTCTAAAATTAATTTTTAAGAAGAAAAAATGAGAAGATACCCTTTATATTATAGAAATTTCTGCCTATAATTTTATGTGTATATTAAAAATTAATGTAGTTTCTCATGTTGGTTTTATATAAACAAATCAGTGTAAAAAGAATGGTTAACTATTTTTCTCCCACACCCCAATGAATCATTTGGCTTATTCTTTGGGATGTAGGACCCACTGTGGGAAGCACCAGTGTAGAAAATTTGGATGTAAAGAGATCAGTTAGGAGGCTGTTATGACAGTCCAGAAGTGAAACGGTGATGATAACTTTGATGGTAATGAGGATGGGAAGAAGTGGACAAATGTGAGAGATATTTAAGCCATAGAATCAGTGGGTGCTGGTGATTGATTGGATCTAAGAGTTTAAGGAAAGGAAGTGAAAAGATGACTCCCAAAGATCTGACTAGAGTAGGTATTTAGATGGTAGTAGTATTTATCAACAGAGTTTGTGACCACTGAAGTGGGAAGAGGAAAGGGGAAATCTGGAACATAGAAGAGATACCAATTTGAGAACATATGTATGAAGTAGCCCAGAGAATATATACTTGGTGGGGCAAAAGTAGGTTTACAGTTCATATGGAAAATAATACAATAATTAATAAATAATAATACAAGAATAAACACACATACAACTGTGAACCTGCGTTTACCTCACTCTGTATAAGAAAACAAACTTTTAGCCCTGGCCGGTTTGGGTCAGTGGTTAGAGCATCAGCTTACGGTCCAGAGAGACCCGGGTTTGGTTCCCACTAAGGGCACGTACCTTGGTTGCAGTTTGTCCCCGGCCCTGGTTGGGTTGTGCGGGAGGTAGCCACTCGATGTGTCCCTTTCATGTCGATGTTTTTCTCTCTCTTCCTCTCTTTCCCTCCCACTCTATCTGAACAAAAAATGGAAAAATGTCCTCAGGTAAGGATAAAAAAAAAAGAAAGAAAATAAGCCTTTAAATGTATTAGTAAATTAATTAAATATTACACAGTCAGCCATTAAAATTGTTTTTGTTTTGTCTTTCTAATTAGGAGTGTATGGTGATGTACATCGAGTGAAGATTATGTTTAATAAGAAAGAAAATGCTTTGGTTCAGATGGCAGATGCAAATCAAGCTCAGCTAGGTACTAATCATTAACAATAATGGTGACCTCCCCTTTTGTATAGGAATATTCCTGTAAAATAAATGTATAACTAGTAGTAATATACTTTTACTGAAGAGTACCTCCTTGTGCTAATGTCTGCATTATTATTTGGACCTGCTTATATTTTATAAAGATTAAAAATATTTATTACTCTTGGAAGCTTATTTATATACTTGAATATATTGTTGCTATTAAGAGCTTTGACTCTAGGGTTTTTCTCTTAAGTTTAAACTACCAAATATCACTTGCTTTGTTTTATTTTATTCTATTTGATTGTTTGTTTATATGCTTGTTTTTGTTTCCAGTTAAGTTTTTTAGAACTGTTGCATGACATAAAAGTTTGGGCAAACTTTATAATGATGGTATAAGAAAGTGTCATTCTGTAGCCTCACTGTTCATTTTTTATAGTGGCTGTTAAAATATTGCTACTCAGAATTTTTATTAAAAATAACTGCTTGAGATTAAACTGATTTATTCAGTAACCATTTTCTGAACATTTACTATGTTACAGGCACTTGGGAACTTCCTAGCATTGTGCTGGGAAGATAGTTGTTGTTCTTTGACTGCTATTCTTTCATTATAGTGAAATAAATCATTTCCAAGAGTTTTACATTTCAACCATTTTAACCCTCAAATTGACAATATAATTTTGAATGACTAAATAAAAAGATTTTATGATAACTTAGGACAAATTTCATAGAGATTCTATCTTAATACCTAAACTTTTTGTATTTTCTTTCTATACACCAGCAATGAACCATCTGAATGGTCAGAGACTTTATGGAAAAGTGCTCCGTGCTACCCTGTCCAAACATCAAGCAGTTCAGCTTCCTCGAGAGGGACAAGAAGACCAAGGTCTGACTAAGGATTTTAGTAATAGTCCTTTGCATCGCTTTAAAAAGCCTGGCTCTAAAAACTTCCAGAATATTTTTCCACCATCAGCCACTCTGCATCTTTCCAACATCCCGTATGTACCTAATCAGTTGTTATTCATTTAGATAGTTAATATTCTGTTGGTTAATAATTAATTATTATTATTTTAAACAGTGTATGTTTTAGAAGAGGTAAAAACTCTGAAATTATTCTAATGTGGCATTTGTCCTGTGGACTGATATCTTGTGAGATGATTTATTTGCCATTATGTCTTAAGAATGTTAAATCTTCTGTCATACAGTGCAAAAGTAAAGGATAGCAGTGTTTTAAATTTTCTTTGCAAGTAGAAAATTAGCAGCTAGTTACTTACCTTTCAGTTATAAAAGGGCATAAAAATAAGTTTATGCAGAAATATTTTATTGATACATATTTCTTCACTCCTTTGTATAGAAGTAGACTTAAGTAACCAATATAACAAAGCCATGTAATTTATTATTGTTATTTTTTTAAATCCACACCCAAGGATATGTTTAGAAAGAAGAATAGAGAGAAACATCAATCAGTTGCCTCCCAAACGTGCCCCGACCAGGGATAGAACCCGAAACCTAAATATATGCCCTGATCAGGAATCAAATACACAACCTCTTGTAACAATGCTACAACCAACTGAGCCACCCAGCCCGGACAAATTATGTATTTAAGAATTTGTTTAGCCCAGCCAGTGTGGCTCAGTGGTTGAGCATTGACCCATGCACCAAGAGGTCACTGGTTTGATTCCCAGTCAGAGCACATGCCCAGGTTGTGGGCACAATCCACAGTGGAGGGCATGCAGGAGACGGCCAATTGATGTTCTCTTTAATCGATGTTTCTGTCTCTCTCTCCTTCTTCTTTCCTCTCTCTCTCAAATCAATAAAGAAAAAATTTTTTTTTAATTTTTTTATTTAAAAGCTGCAAAGCCATATTATATAATTATTAATTAAAATTAATATGTTAATTATTTCTTGATGTGACCGCTGTGTATTAACTAGCATTGTAGCAGACTTGTCATCTTCTAAGTCTGAGATTAATAGACTACCCATGGGTCAAAACCATCTGTTTCAGCCCTGGCTGGTTTGGCTCAGCAATTAGACCATCGGCCTGCGGTCCAGAGAGACTTGGATTCGGTTCCCACTAAGGTCACGTACCTCGGTTGCACTTTGTCCCCGGCCTGGTTCGGTCATGCGGGTGGCAACCACTCGATGTGTCCTTTTCACATCGATGTTTCTCTCTCTTTCTCTTCCTCTTCCTCCCTCCCACTCTATCTGAACAAAAAATGAAAAAACGTCCTCGGGTGAGGATTAAAAAAAAAAAACCATCTGTTTCAGTATGGACCATGAGCTAAGACTGATTTTTTTTTTTTAAATCCTCACCTGAGGACATTTTTGCATTCTTCTTCAGATAGAGCAGGAAGGAGAGAGGGAGGGAGAAAGAGAGAGAAACATCTATGTAAGAGAGAACATCAACTGGTCACTACCCACACAACTCCAACTGGGGCCGGGGACAAATTGTAACTGAGGTACATGCCCTTAGCAGGAACTGAACCTGGGTCTCTCTGGTCTGTGTGCCAATGCTCTAACCACTGAGCAAAACTGGCCAGGGCAAGACTGATTTTTACCTTTCCAAATAGTGGGGTAAAGCAAAAGGAAAATATTTTGTGATTTGAAAAAATTACATAAAATTCAGGTTTCACATTCCATAAAGTTTCATGGAACCACAACCACACTCATTCATTTATATGTTATCTGTGGCTGATTTTGAGTTACAATGTCAAAGCTGAAGAGTTGCAACAGAGACTATATGATCATCAAAACCTAAGGTATTTACTGTGTGGCCCTTTATAGAAAACATCTGGCAACCCCTATTCTAATTTTTTAATTCCTTAACCAACAAAGATGGCAATTTTGTATAATTTAATCAAATACACAGTGACAAACTTTGGAAAGGGAGGGAGGTATAAAAGCTCTGGGGTGTGATTGTATGTGTGCATGTGTGCAGAAATATAAAGACTGAGGGAATAGAGAATGGTAAAGTTTGGAATGTTATTGAGAATGAGAATAGTAAATGAATAAGTATAGAAAATAATTATTCTAAATAGTGTTGAATACTCAGGCTCCCAGCTAGTCTCCAGTTAGGCTACTTGGAGAAACTTTGAATCTGAATTGGGCAAACCTCATGCCAACTAGGAAGCCAGAGAAGCTACATAAGAAAACAAGTCTAGATTTTATACAGCTAGAAATTTAGCACCTCATCACTATAAAGTCAGGTAGAGGGCAACATATTTAGATACTGAGGTAGGTTCCTGTCATTGTTACCTTCTTAAGTACAATTCATTATCCAGGGCTGGTCTCAAGTTGCAAACATACATAGGACATGTGTGTACAAAATGGAAAGGACATTAGTATTTTTTGAACCATCTATCAAGTTCTGGGCACTGTGGTGGTGGTTTACTTATGTTATCTCGTTTAATCTCCATATTAAACTTTTAAAAATTGTGATGATAATGTATACACAACATAAAATTGACCATTTTAACCATTTTTGAGTGTGCAGTTTAGTGTAGATTCACATTAAGTACATTTATATTATGTAACCATCACCTTTATCCATCTGTAGATCTTTGTAATGGTCCCAAACTGAAATTCTATATCCATAAACAATAGCCCTGTTTTCCTTTATTCTCCATTCCCTAGTAACTACTACAGTATTTCCCCTCTTGTTTATAGGGGATATGTTTCAAGACCCCCATTGAATGCCTGAAACTGTGGATAGTACCAAACCCTATGTAGAGTATGTTTTTTCTATACATACGTAATACCTATGATAAAGTTTAATTTAAAAATCGGGCACAGTAGGAGATTAACAATAATAGCATAACAAAATAGTATAATTATAACAAAATACTGTAGTAAAAGTTATGTGAATGTGGTCTATCTTATTAAATCAAGAACTTTCATCTTTTCCTTAGAGGAAGCACTTTATGGCTTCTCTTTGGCATATCCGAATTGCCAGCATCACTACTCTTGCACTTTGGGACCATTAATAAGTAAAACAAGGGGACTTGAACACAAGTACTGGAATACTGTGATAGGTGATCTGAACACTGAGTAGGTTACTAGTGACTAACAGGTGTGTAGCGTATACAGTGTGGAAACGCTGGGCAGAGGGATGATTCATGTCTTAGGAACAATGGAGCAGGATGGCAGGCTCAGTATCTCATACTGTAACTGAGTCAGGAATTCAGAAGTTGCCCTGGTTGGTGTGGATTAGTGGTAAGAGCGTGAGCCTGCACACCCAAGGGTCTCAAGTTTGAATCCAAGTCAAGAACACGTACTTGGGTTGCAGGTTCAATTCCTGACTCCAGTCAGGGAGTGTGCAGGAGGCAACCAATCAATGTGTCTCTCTCACATTGATGTTTCCCTCTTTCTCTTTGCACCCCACCCCCTCCACTTTCTCTAAAAATCAATGGAAAAAATATCCTCAGGTGAGGATTAAAAATAACAATAATAAAATAAAATAACTTTAAAAAAAAAGAATCCAGAAGTTGCTTAGCTGGGTGGTTTTGGCTGAGAGTGTATCATAAGGTTGCATCTGAAGGTTTAACTGGGGCTAGAGGATCAACTTCCAAAGTGGCTCGTTCATGTGCCTACTTATTGTCAGGAGGCCCTCAGTTGCTTGTCACAAGGACTTCTTCATATGGCTGCTTAAGTGTCCTCATGAAATAGCAGCTAGTTTCCTCCAGAGCTAATGATTCAAGTGAAGAAGGTAAGGTGGGAGCTGCAGTGTCTCAACCTCCACAATCACAGGTGTCATTTCTACATACCGTTAAAGGTTACAGAGGACATCCCTATTCAGCATGGCAAGGGTGTATTCAAGGGCATGAATCCTAGAAAGTGAGAGAATTGGGGGCCATCTTAGAGCCATATACACATATTCATAATTACCCTGAAAGCAGTTTAAAATGTAGAACTCTGGCCAGCTGGAGAGTCTTTGTTGGCTGAGCATTGTCCGGTGCATGAAAAGGTTGCTGATTTGATTCCCAGTCTGGGCACATACCTGGGTTGCAGGTTTGATGCCCAGTCAAGGAGCATATGGAAGACAACTGATCAGTGTTCCTCTCTCCCTAACATGTCCTCAGGTGAGGATTTAAAAAACAAAACTAAAATGTAGAACTCTGAACTATAGTAGACAAACCAGAACTAGGAAAGTAGCTTTGGAAGTACTAGAGTTAATTACTGAAGCCAGCACTCATTATTCCTTTGAAATAATAAATACAGCCCAGCCAGTGTGGCTCAGTGGTTGAGCATCAACCCATGCTCCAAGAGGTCACCAGTTCGATTCCCGGTCAGGAGACATGCCCAGGTTGTAGGCCAAATCCCCAGTGTGGGGCATGCAGGAGGCGGCCAGTCGATGTTCTCTCATCGATGTTTCCATCTCTCTCTCCCTTTCCCTTCTTCTCTTTCTCTAAAATCAATAAAGAAGAAAACTTTTTTTAAAAAGAAGTAAGTACAGGGCAAAATTAGGTTTACAGTTGTACCACCAATTAATGATACAATAATAATATAAGGATAAACTTTCATGTACTCACAACTGTAAATCTACTTTTGCCAACCCCTGTATAGAAAATTTTTCTTATTCTTTATACACCCGTCCACATTGTTTGCAAAAGATTTGAAACAAAATTCCATTGTTTGAGGACATGTACATCAACCTCAAACATCTTGCAGGGCAGTTGCAAATCATATCTTCATTGCATGACTTTAATCTCTTTGAAATGTGAGATACTCTGGAGATTTAATGATTACAAGTTCATCTTTGTTCATTTGAGAATCAGGGCTAAGATTTTTGGTTGACTCTGTTTTCACAGACCTTCTGTGACAATGGATGATCTGAAGAACCTTTTCACAGAAGCTGGATGTTCGGTGAAAGCTTTTAAATTCTTTCAGTAAGTTCTTTTGAGAAATACATTAGCCTCATTTAATATGGTATGCAAATTTTAAGGTAGTTCAATGAAGTCTTCTAGGGTTGTGGAGAAGGTTTATAGGCAGAATTAATTCTATACCGTTTTTATATTTCTTATACCATTTTCAGGAAAGATCGCAAAATGGCCCTTATTCAGTTGGGATCTGTGGAAGAAGCAATCCAAGCCCTCATTGAACTTCATAACCATGACCTTGGAGAAAATCACCATCTGAGAGTTTCCTTCTCAAAGTCCACAATCTGACCTTTCTGTGAATTTTTCTTCTAAGACTGGACCATAATTGCAGTAAAACATTCAGACATAGACTGAAGCAGCTCAAGACCAATTCTGCCTCTTTTACAAAAATTTTTTTTTTTCTTTCTGGGTTTGCTATTTAAGTATATTCAAAAATTAAGGGATGTTTTCCCCCCTGCCAATATGTGATCAAAGGTGTGTTTTTTTTTCTTTTTACCATAGTTTCTATGAAAATAATGTTCAGGAAAAATAATTTTTTTTTCTTCAGTAATTTAATTTCCCATATTAAATTGGATTTCAAGAGGACAGACTTTCTTTTAGTTTGGGTCCAGATCAGTCTTATACATTTCTAAACTCCTTTGTACTTTAAAAAATTTAAACATACCAACTCTTAAAATTATTTGATGATGTAAGTAACTTCAATTTCTTACAACCAAGTTTTTAACTTTATGATTCAGAATTTGTTCAGTTACAAATTATATCAATTATGTAGCATATATTAATAGTTATACATAAAAAAATTGGTTTGTATTGGAAGCAGATTTATAAACTTCCAAGTTTTATTTCAATGGTTTGTTTTTTTCATTATAAGACACTCCTTTGAATATTGCATATCTTTAACTTTTTAAGACTATTTGGAGAAATGAAGTGTCTCAACTGTCCACAAGGAAATTAAATGGAATCCAACCAGGATCATTATAGATGTCACAATAATTAATAACTTTATTAGGGAAAATCATGTTTGAATTTCAAAATGACACATATTTGCTGAGTAATATAATAAGATCTTAGAAAATTTAAAAAATCTACTTATAAACTACTTTTTTATAATTGTTTTCAGAAAAAGTTTACAGTCTTAAGGAAAATATTCAGGTCTATCATATGGTTTGACAGATTTTTAAAAGTTATTTTTGGTAAGGTCTTCTTTTAGAAAAAAAAATCTCAAGGGTTTTTTGTACCACTATAATCTGTAATACTTATTCAGAATTACTGTGTATTTACTTAATTTCTTATGTGCCTTATTATGTGCTTATGATACAATAGGTTAGAGTTTTATCTAAGTATCTTGAAAGCTATATTGTGGGCTTGGTGAGTGTTTGTCTTTTCTTTCCCTGTTTTGGTAAGGATTTTAAAGTTTTTTTCATTGCTATTTTAAGTAGTTTTCAATAAGAAATAGTTTTTATTCAAATTTATGGTGCTTTGGTGCAGAGATGGGGTGGGGAAGGGTAAGTGGTTTGGAGAATAACTCAGTGCACACCTGTAGGCCTCTTCATATTGTGACCAATAGCGGTCATTGTCTTTATGGCATACTGATTTGGAGCTGTAAAATGCAATCTCATTTTCTGGATCTTCTCTAATCTTTATGATTCATCAGATTTTGTCTCAGGATTACTTGTTTTTTCTCACAACTCAAGCGAGAACTTGCTTTTCTTTGTTGATGTAACTTTATTGCCGAGTGCCCACATATGTGGAGTGTGACACAGTGGGTTCCTTCTCATTCTCAGTCCCATCCCTCTTTGGTTGAATGGATGTAAGAGTGCATGTTAATGTTGCTTCAGTGAGTGTGTAATGTAAAATTGTTTCTTTTTAATGAGAAACTTGGCTTTTGTTAATTACTCCTTCAGTGCTTGATCAGATTTTTTAAACGCAGGATTTGTCAAAGGGACATTTTGCCCACCACTGTTACACTTTTCAGATTCTCAGAGTGGCTCATCTCACCTTTAAGAGGAATGTCTCAGTCTCTGCTATATTCCAGCCATTAATTTGAACACAGGAAATTTTCTACAAAAGAAAACTTTACAAAAAATTGGAGTCGGCGGAAGATATTATAGGTTGTTGAAAAGCAGAATCCACTCTACACTGAGCAACAGGTTGGTAGAATAGGAAGGAGGATACTAAATTGAGACCTTTTGGGTGATCAGTTTAGCATTGTCTGAATCGATAGGTATAATCACTTATCAAGTTTTTATTTTTTCAATTATGAGATGTATTTTTAGTGAAACACTGAGTAAGAGGGGAGGGGGAAAAGTTCTTTGAGAAATCTACCAAAATTTGCTTCATTTTTCCTCTCATACAGGCACTATTTAAATTTTCAGTGGCATCTTAAATTGGATTATTTCATATGCTTTCAGTTAAGAGTTACTGTGTAATTTAAAGTCATGATTCTCATAATATTCAATGTATAAGTGTAGCAAAAGTGTAGCAGAAGGGAGATCATAATGGTGTTGAATGTAATTTTGAAATAGAGCATGGCCTTTAAATCTGAGAGAGAACATTTGAATCCTTTTCAGGGATTTGTGTATGTGTATGTATAGATAAGTGTACACACACACACACACACATACACTTCTGATGTTGTACATACATGTACACATTACATCTTTTAATTTATTGACAAAGAAAATTAATCAAATTAACATTTGGAAAAGTGAGATATTCTTATTTAAAATAGTGTGTTTGAAACCACCAACTTGTGTCTAAGATTAGCTGTGGCACATGGATTCTAGAAATCTACAGTTTTTTGTTGGCATAGTTTCTGTAAAAAGATTTTAAAATATCAGGGTAGTGGAAAAATTAGATCTTTGTTTTTGTTTTTGGCATGCATTCGTTAAATACCTTCTAAGTCATGTTTTCACTGTTGAGCTCACATAGTATTCTATTTTTAAGCTTCTTTACTTTAAGGAGTATTATCACTTTTGGAAGTGTCTTCACTTTTACACAAAGTATGTATAATATTCAGGACTTTAAAAAAATAGCAGTACATGTTTAACAGTAGCAATTTATGCCAAAAAGTTTTTCTTTGAGATTTAAATAACTTGCAGAGCAGTGGAATGTGTTTTTGTGTGAGCTACAAATAGAAAAATGACCCAGTATCTTAACTGATAATTTAACTGAAGAATATCAGCATTTTACCCAATAACTCCTACAGAATGCCATACATTTTTTAAGACTAAATATTGTGATCATTTATTTGTAGTAGTAATGTTTCTGATTTTGTCGAAAGATTCAGATCTCACAGTTTTTAGAGACGTATTTCTGCCTGCCTGCCTGCCTAATTCCTTATGGGAGCTGAGCAATACCTTCTTTGGCTCTACCTCTGATGGTAATCATAGGTTCTGCCTCAGCTGGTTAGAAGTAACTCATGAATGTCTCTGTTCAGTTTCATGTAAGCTTTTCAAAGTTTCCATTCCTTAGGCAGCAAGGTTTATATGTACATTGAGTAAATTATAATGTAATTTCTCTTCTGTTTCCACTAAATCTTTTCGGACAAAAGATGACAAGCTCAAAAGTATTTGCCTCCCACCCTAATGAGTCACTTAAAAATCCAAAGTTTGCAAACTGTTAGCCTATCTCTTAGAAAATCTAATGTGTACTGCTATTTTTAAAACCAAAAAGACAGCATGACTATGTGTGAAAGCATTTTTCTTAGCCTTTTCTTTCTCTTGATCTGTTGTTAACAAGAATAAAACTGCCAGACTTAAAATATTCTACTATTGTGGTAAAAGAAATATAATTTTGATTGCACAAAACTTTTCCTTTAAAGCAAATGTAACTCAGCTGTCTTTTAAAAGAGCTGTGTTGTTATCTACAAGACTATTTACAGTCTTTTTTCAGAGCAAATTCTAACAGTTGTGAATTCTTTTAAAAAAAATAGAAAATTACTAAAATACTAGTTTTAGGAGTTTTATAGAGGGAGAAAAACAAAACGGGACCAAAGTTTATGTGCCTTCTTCAGTAGTCTTAATTGACCTTTTCTGCCTATTCAAGACTAAGGTAGTATCAGTATTCTGGTTTTCAGGAAGTATGTACTATATAGTTTTAAAAGAATGTTACCCCACAGACTATTCATACAAGCAAAGAAATGTAACTGTGTAGATGAAGTCTCAGTTACACTTTTGCCTATATTCATTATAGAGCATTGTGCAGGTCCAAGAACAGAGCTGCTCGCTTTAAATCTTTGTGGTAGTCATCTTAGTTTCTGTAAACTGAGGCATGTGTTCCAGAGAACAGGGATATTTGTCTGGTCCAGTGACCTTGGTGATACTAGTCATAATTGAAAGCTGCTTATGGCAAGTTGAAATCTGCACTGTAAACAGATTTTTGTTCTTGTGTCATTTTCAATTCTTGAATCTGTGTACTAGTTGTAATAACAAATATTTAAATAGCTATTTTTGATGTCATACTCTGGCCTTCCCCCCACCCCCCGCCATTGTTATCCAGATATTTAAAAAATTCATCCCACATGCAGAAAGTACTAATTATAAAGATTGCTGACCAAGCAGAGTTTTGCATCAAAATGTCACCTCATTGCTCTGACCAAAGACTGACTTCTGATTTTAACTCCTCTCTATTAAGCATTTTTTCCCAAGCTCCTTTCTGAAAGAAGACCCAGTGCAAAGCAGCCTTTACTTTCTATTTCCTGTTGGTGAATAGACTACTTAGAGAAAATGGGAGTTGAAATGTGAACAGAATGGATTAGGATGACAAGGGTTTGATGGGCATTTTCAGTACTGTATTTAAGGAAAAAAAATAGCACAGCTAGGAGCCTATGACATTGTCTCATGTTTTGTGTGGTCTGTCCATAAGATGCCCTTTTTCAGTTTATAAGAATGTTCATCTAACAGAAGAAGATGCTGTAAATATTTGTAACAACATTTTTTTAAACCAGGCCAAAAAAGAAAAAAAGGGGGAGGGTTTTGGGAACAAGTTATCATATAAAGTGGTTTTATATAAAACATCGATTGTCTTGTATATTTTGATAAGCAGCAGTACCAGCTTCATTTGTAACACAGTTTGTGGCATTGGGAAAAAGGATTCTGTGATTATTGAAGTGAACTATGTTATAAATGCAAAGAGAAGATAAAATATTAAAAAACATATTTTCTAAATGCGTAGTGCATGGTTAATTCAGTCTTCTGTACACTACAGTGTATTCCATTCTCGTTCAGTTTGTATGTTTGCCAACTATTACTTGATATCTCTAATCTCTTTTCCTAACAAGTATAGCATTGTAGCATGCCTTTTAATAAATGTCATGACATCTGTACGCTCTTAAAATTTTTCTGTGTTCTTGTCTGTGCTTTGGGTTTCCCCTTGTCTTACCTGTAATTCTAATTATGTCATATTTTTAAAAAATTTCCATAGCCATCCATTTAAATTTGTCAAACTTAGAGAGTAGCAAGGACATATTTTTACAACTTCAAAAACCGGAAAACCCTAAGTCTACTAACCACCTCTTTTTAAATTAAGGAACATTTCTCATTTTGAGGAGCCTGTAATACATTTCTACATTTCTAATTGTCCTGTAATACAAATGTCTCTGTCATACTCCCCCTTTAGTACAAGTACATGTTGGCATACTTGAGCACTTGAGTGAGCCCCCCCCCTTACACACTCTCACACACGCACGCACGCATGCACACAATATATGTACAATGCCAAACAACAGTAACAACACTTTCTGTAGTCCAGTTTTTGGCTTCCCTATGGGATTAGTATTCATAAATTATGAGACAGAAGGTGGGATCTCAAATCAAATTTGTGTCCTTTTTAATTAAAGGGTAATCCAGTTAGTTGCTGGCTGCCTATACAGTGCTTGTCCTTAGGTAAATGTTTTATTTCTGAGTTCCTGAAAGAAATACTGGATTGCCTGGCCAGTGTGGCTCACTGGTTGAGCGTTGACCCATGCACCAGGTCACTGATTCGATTCCCGGTCAGGGCACATGCCCAGTTTAGGGGCCAAATCCCCAGAGGAAGGGCATGCAGGAGGCGGCCAGTCAATGTTCTCTCTCATCGATGTTTCTATCTATCCCTCTCTCTCTCTCTAAAATCAACAAAAAAATAAGTAAAAAGCAAAATACTGGATTGTAGGAGTCTGAACAGCAACTTACTGTAATCTTTTACTCTAGGTTCTTTTGGAAGAGGATTTCTTTCTAATGGATTGGAAAATTAGGTAAACCTTACTGATCTTTGGTGGCTCACCTGTAAAATCTGTTATCTCCATAAATGTAATTAGATCAAGTTTTTTTTTAAGCATAAGAAACATTTTTGTCAGGAAAAGATAAAATAATCCTATGACCGACCGAGTGAGGTTTTTATGAACAACTTGAGAGTGAAACGCTTATTTACACAGTAGAGTGCTTATAACCATCACTAAGAATCATGCTTTTCTTTTTTTAGCATAAATGGATCTAAGAGATCGCCTGGTTCAGTTTCCACTTTTTACAGATAAAGAGCAGAGAAGGAAGTGGCTTGCTCAGGGCCACATGCCAGCCCACCGTGGAGTAGACTGGAAGCCAGGTCTCCTTGACGTTACCCCACTACTCTCCATCGCACCCGGTACTGTGGTCTTGTCTGGCCAGGTGCTCTGAGGGTTTCTGTGCCTGGAATTGGGGTGCTTATGCTACCAAACCAATTTAAAGACATTGCATACGTGGTGGTGGTGTTTCTGCAGAAGGGTAGAAATGTTTACCTACTTCTGGAAATTCTCAAAAATGTAATTTCAAGTTATAAATTTGAGGAAACTAACTCCTTAAAAATAAAGTTTCTTTTGCCCTGGCCGGTTTGGCTCAGTGGTTAGAGCATCGGTCTGCGGTCTGGAGAGACCTGGGTTCAGTTCCTGCTAAGGGCGCGTACCTCAGTTGCAGTTTATCCCCGGCCCTGGTCGGTCGTGCAGGTGGCAGCCACTTGATGTGTCCCTTTCATGTCGATATTTCTCTCTGTCTCTTCCTTTCTCTCCCTCCCACTCTATCTGAATAGAAAATGGAAAAATGTCCTCGGGTGAGGATAAAAAAAAAGAAACTATATATATATATATATATATATATATATCCTCACCTGGGGACATTTTTGCATTTATCTTTAGATAGAGCGGGAGGGAGAGAGGGAGGAAGAGAGAGAGAGAGAAACATTGATGTGAGAGAGACACATTGAATGGTTGCCACCCACATGACCCCAACCGAGGCCGCGGACAAACTGCAACCGAGGTACATGCCCTTAGCAGGAACCGAGCGCGGGAGTCTCTCGTCCATAGGCCGACGCTCTAACCACTGAGCCAAACCGGCCGGGGCTAAAAAGTATAGTTTCTATTTGTCTTTGTTTGCTAGGGCTGACATAAAGTTTTAATAGTTTATTTTCTTAATGGTACTAGAGACTAGAAGTCAACAATCAAGATGTCAGCTGGGTTGATTTCTGTTTTTCTGCTTTGTTTTTATTAATCCTTACTTGACATTTTTCCATTGCTTTTTTTTTTTAAGATAGAGTTGAAGGGAGGGTGGGAGAGAGAAAGAGAAACATCAATGTGAGAGAGACACATCAATTGGTTGCCTCCCACATGACCCAATTATGGCTGGGGATTGAACCTGCAACCCAGGTACATGCCCTTGACCAGGAATGGAACTCGCAACCCTTTGGTCCACAGGCTGACACTCTAAACACTGGTCAAACTGGCCAGGGAAGGGTTGGTTTCTTCTGAGGCCTTTCCTTGGCTTGTAGATGGCCGTCCTCTCCCAATGCCTTTGCGTGGTCTTTCCTCTGTTTGTGTCCGTGTCCTAATCTCTTTTTCTTTTTTTAATCCTCACTTGAGGACATTTCTGCATGTATCTTCAGATAGAGTGGGAGGGAGGGGGAGAGAGAGAGACATCGATGTGAGAGACACATTGACTGGTTGCCACCCACATAACCCCAATCGGGGCCAGGGACAAACCACAACCAAGGTACATGCCCTTAGCAGGAACCAAACCCCAGGCCTGTGGTTCTAACCGCTGAACCAAACTGGCCAGGGCCTAATTTCGTTTTATAAGGTAAACCAGTCATGTTGAATTAGGGTCTACATATCTGATTTCATTTTGTCATAATTACCTCTTTAAAGGCCCCTGTCCCACCCTGATGGGTTTGGCTCAGCCGTTAGTGCATCAGCCTGCGGTCCAGAGAGGCCCAGGTTCGGTTCCCACTAAGGGTACGTACCTCGGTTGCGGTTTATCCCCAGCCCTGGTTGGGTCATGTGGGTGGCAACCACTCGATGTGTCCCTTTAACATCATTTTTCTCTCTCTCCCTCCCACTCTATCTGAGCAAAAAAAAAATAAAGGCCCGATCCCCAAATATAATCACATTCTGAGATACTGGGGTTTAGGACTTCAACAAGAATTTTGGTAGAACACAATTTAACCCATACCACTTTAATAAAAATTATTCATTTCCCCAAGGTGCTGATTGTACCAGCAATTGAGCTAGGTGCTGGGAAAGATATAAAGAGTTAATACGTTGACCTACCTCCTAGAAAAGTGTAATATAGTGGAAATGTCAGCCTAAATCCATAAATCAAATAGTCTTGAACTCTTACCTTTGATAGGAAGCCCCCAAAATGTATCCTGAAGCTTCTAGGCAATTCTAGTCAGTATATATGGCTAAAGCTATCATTCAGATGATTATGTAGGAACACATACCATTCAATAATTACCTACTCCTCACTCTTAGAAATAACTTTCAGAGCAAAGGCCATTTCTAAGACACATGCCATAACTTGAACAGTGCAGGAGTAGTCAAGTAAGAGGACACCATCAAATGAGCTGTGCCCAGTTTTTGTGTTGTTGTTTTTTATCCTCACCCGAGGACATTTTTTGTTCAGATAGGGTGGGAGGGAGAGAGAGGAAGAGAGAAACATCGACACGAAAGGTACACATCGAGTGGCTGCCACCCACACGACCCAACCAGGGCCGGGGACAAACTGCAACCGAGATACATGCCCTTAGCAGGAGCCAAACCCTGGTCTCTGAACTGCAGGCCGACGCTCTAACCGCTGAGCCAAACCGGCCAGGGCTGTGCCCAGTTTTTAATGTTCAACATTTGATCATTGAACTGGAGTGCTGGGTTTAGGAATAGTCATGAAGATTTATATATATTTATTTTCTTTTATTCTTATGTTCTAAGGATATAGACAGGGTAATGGGAGAATTCAGTGGTTCTTTTGGAATAAATTGCCCTCAAATTAAGAAAACTAAGCCCAAGGTTATGGAATTATCTACTAAATCCTCTATCCTGCAGAATACAAATGTCAGATTCTGACCTGTTAAGCAGTTGTCTTCAACCCAATGGAAGCTGGTATCAGTTATATTAGTGTTAGACAAAGTACACTTGCAGGCAACAGGCACTAGAAGAGAGAAATTTTATAATATTTATATAGTAGAATACTTAATAGTTATGCAAGTGAACACAATGAAGCTACATGGAAGAATCTCACAGATGTGATGTTGAACAAAGGAAGTCATACACAATGGAACACATGCATAATTCTATTTACATCAAGTTCATAAACAGGATAGTGGTTACCTTTGGGAAGGAGATAATTAAGGGTATGGGGAGAGGTTTTCACTGTGTGGTTAATGTTTTCTTTTTTAACCTTTGTACCAGTTACCCAGGAGTGTTTACTTTCTGATAATTCATTGAGCTTGTACACTTAGAATTTGTGCACTTATCTGTGTTATACTTTATATTTCATTTTGAAAACTGACTGTAATTGAGCAAGGTGCTATAATCCATTCTCCTGTCTTTTTATTTTATTATTTTTTATTTTTCCTTTTTATTAAATTTATTGGGGTGACACTCGTTAACAAAATCATACAGGTTTCTGGTGCACAATTCTACAACACATCATCTGTACACTGCATTGTGTGTTCACCACCCTAAGTAAAGACTCCACTCACCACCATTTATCCCCTCTATATCCTCCTCTACCTACCCCACCCCCCCACCCCACCCCACCTCTGGCAGTCACAACCCTGTTGTTTGTGCTTCTTTTATTTTAATATGTTTTTATTGCCCGGCTGGTGTGGCTCAGTGGTTGAGCATCAACCCATGCACCAAGAGGTCACCGGTTCAATTCCTGGTCAGGGCACATGCCCAGGTTGTGGGCCAAATCCCCAGTGGGGGGCATGCAGGAGGCAACCAGTCGATGTTCTCTCTCATCAATGTTTCTATCTCTCTCACTTCCTCTCTAAAAAAATCAATAAAGAAAAAATTATTTTAATATGTTTTATTGATTTTCAAGTAAATACATTTTTGGACAGCTTTATATTTTACATTTTTAAAAGATTTTATTAATACAATTGACCCTTAACACAGGTGTGAACTGTGCAGATCCACTTATATGTGGATTTGAAGATTCAACCGACTACAGATTGGAAACAGTATTTTCGATATGTGGTTGGTAATCCACAGACATGGAGAGCTAGCTACACATTGTTCTGTGCCATTTTATTTATATAAGGGACTTGAGCATCCCCAGATTTTGATATTAGCAAAAGGTCCTGGAACCAATCCTCATCCTACCCCCCAGATACCAAAGTATGGCTGCAATTAAGTTTTGGGTGAGCCAAAAGCTATACTCTGATTTTTGACTGTTCAGGGGTTGGTGCCCCAATCACTGCATTGTTCAGGGGTAAATATACTATTAGTTTTGCTTTTGCAGCTCTAAGCCTCATCTGGTGCACTATTTAATGTCTGACCTTTTATATATTTTCATCAAGAAAAGCCAGAAAGACCTGTGTAGCTCTCTAGCATCCTAAGAGGAGACTTTAAACAAAAGGCTTAGGCCATGGCTGGTTTGGCACAGTGGTTAGATCATCGGCCTGGGGACTGAAGGGTCTTGGGTTGAATTCCCAGTCAAGGGCATGCACCTGGGTTGCAGGTTCGGTCCCTCCTCAGTGGTCAGGGTCGTGTGGGAGGCAGACCATCAATGCGTCTCTCTCACATTGATGTTTCGCCTTCTCTCCCTTCCATTCTGTCTAAAAAACCAATAGAAAAATATACTCAGGTGAGGATTAAAGAAAAAAAAAAAAGGCTTAGTGAAACTTCCCGTCATTAAGATTCTTAAATAGGTACTAATTATTATAGTGTCATGAATCCCCATGTACCCAATACCCAGATGCAAACAATGGGCCAAGCTTGTTTCATCTATTCCTCCTGCATTCCCTGAACTATTTTGAAACATTTAATTTCATCTACAAACATTTCAGTATGTTTAAGTTCATAACTGCAATTGTTGATAAAGTCTTTTCATACATAGCTTCCCTTTCCATCTTCTTTTCCCCTTGCAACTTATTTGTTGAAACAGCTATTTGCTCTAAAAATTCCCAACAGCCTGGATTTCACTGATTATGCCTCCATGATGTTACTTCTTTAATATGTCCCTCACCCCAAGTTTTCTGTAAATTGAGAGCTGCTGCTTTCTTCCCTCCTTCCTGCCTCCCTGGTTTCTCTCTCTCTCTGGCAAGAATACTTTAGAAACAGCATTGAGCACTTACGTAATGTATCTTGTGATGGTAGTAGCCATTGGTAATCG